ATAATGGTCATATATAATTTTTTTTTTGCCATTGTGATTGGACACAAATATTATCCAACTAGAGGCCTGATACATGAAAATTAGTGTACTCTGGGGGGTCCCTCGGGCTGGCCTGTGCCCTCTCGCAGTCCGGGACCACTCAGGGGATGTTGGACTGCCAGTTTTGGCCCAATCCCCACAGGCCAGGCCAAGGGCCCCCACCAGTGCACGAATTCGTGTACCAGGCCTCTAGTACTTAATATATATGAATATATGAGTAATATTAAACTTATGCAGAGAGCTAGTTATCATCTTTCTCATCTTCTATTCATTGAGTAAAACTAAACTCATTACAAAATTTTCTCATTTAATCCTCAAAGCAATCATTAGCACTCCTACTTTATAAATGAGGTAAATCAAGTTCAGATTTCTTATACCTAATAAGTGATGAAACAAGAATGTGTACCCAAGTCTGCTTGAATATAATTTTTGTTCTTCACAACGTTTGTACTGTTTCCTAGGTAACTAAACCAGTTGCCCTTTAAGATTTTTGATAACGCAAGGTATCTCAAGGACCCGTATTGTCATCATCATGGTGTTCCAACCATGATGTTCAAATGCCCCAGATCAGGAACATTTGACTTGGTGGTGAGGTGGGGGGAGGAGGGGCCTCACAGAAATAAAGGGTAATATAATGATAGATTAAATAATAAGTGGATGATAGATATATGTGTATATTTTCAAAGTATTCTAGGGAAACTGAAGGTTAGCTACTGAGTTATTTCCTTTGTTACAAACAGATGAACGGTTTTGGAAGACTTGAACATTTTTCAGGAGCAGTCTATGAAGGATACTTTAAGGACAATATGTTTCATGGACTGGGGACTTACATATTCCCATCTGGGGCAAAGTATACTGGAAATTTCAATGAAAATAGGTAAGCTTAAAATAAAAGGTCACTATAGTTCTAAAAGATTCTTTTCAGGCATGTTTGCTTAAGTATTTTATTTAGTTAATGTTAAATATTCTTTTGTAATATATTTTGTTAGAATATATTTATAACATTTAGTAAGAAATGTCAGGTTATTTTTTTAGGAGAAAAAAATCTTATGAGATGCTAAGACCATCATGAGCCTTCAAAAGAAGATCATTCAGCCCAGCCAGTGTGGCTTAGTGGTTGAGCACTGACCTATGAACCAGAGGTTCAATTCCCAGTCATGGCACATGCCCCGGTTGTGGGCTTGAGCAGTCGATCAATGTTTCTTTCTCATCAATGTTTCCATATCCCTCTCCCTTCTTCTCTCTAAAATCAATAAAAACATATTAAAAAAATAAATAAAGGGAGAAAAACCTAACCATGGGATAAAGGTCTGTTTGTGTAAGTGAAGTGCATTTTTATCACTCCAAAGAGTCCAAGGAAACACCAGCACGGAACACAGCCCTCCAAACATAGTTGACAGTCAGTAAATGTTTGTTGAATAAGTTAATGACCTAATATAAACTTTTCATTTTTTAACTGATTGTTTGGGTTTTTATGTAAACTTAGCATATCCTAGAACAGTGATGGCGAACCTATGACATGCGGGTCAGAGGTGACACATGAACTCATTTTTTTGGTTGATTTTTCTTTGTTAAATGGCATTTAAATATATAAAATAAATATCAAAAATATAAATCTTTGTTTTACTATGGTTGCAAATATCAAAAAATTTCTATATGTGACAGGGCACCAGAGTTAAGTTAGGGTTTTTCAAAATGCTGACACACCGAGCTCAAAAGGTTCACCATCACTGTCCTAGAATCTTGTACATCAAAATTTGTATAATGACTATTTATTCGAAATAATAATATTAACACTTTGTGGTCCAATTTTATTTCTAGAATTCAAACAGTCTGGTCCGAATTAATTGACGGGATTGAATGTTGAACCAGTTTGCGGTGTCGGCTTCAGCCTTGACATTGGACCTGCTCCTAGACCAGGGGTGGGCAAACTTTTTGACTCGAGGGCCACAATGGGTTCTTAAACTGGACCGGAGTTTTGGAACAAAAGCATGGATGGAGTGTTTGTGTGAACTAATATAAATTCAAAGTAAACATCATTACATAAAAGGGTACGGTCTTTTTTTTTTTTTAGTTTTATTCATTTCAAACGGCCGGATCCAGCCCGCAGGCCGTAGTTTGCCCATGGCTGTCTAGAGCCTGGTCTGTCGAGTCAGCCTCGACGTTGGACCTGCTACTAGCGCCCGGTCTGTCGAGTCAGCCTCGACGTTGGACCTGCTATTAGCACCTGGTCTGTCGAGTCAGCCTCCACGTTGGACCAAAAAAGGTTAATAATTGTCTTTTTTTTGTAGGATATGAAAACAGGATCCTGGGTTTTAAATCAAAGTCTCAAAATGGAAAGCTATAATTCTTCAGACATAGTATATAATATGTCACAGTGTAGGTCAGTGGTTCTCAACCTTCTGGCCCTTTAAATACAGTTCCTCATGTTGTGACCCAACCATAAAATTATTTTCATTGCTACTTCATAACTGTAATGTTGCTACTGTTATGAATCGTAATGTAAATATCTGATATGCAGGATGGTCTTAGGCGACCCCTGTGAAAGGGTCGTTCGACTGCCAAAAAGGGTTGCGACCCACAGGTTGAGAACCGCTGGTCTAGATAGTCTTAAATCTGGACAGTAAATTCTTAGTGTTGATTAATGAACAAACTTATTTTTTACTATTACAGGGTGGAAGGTGAAGGACAATATACTGATATCCAAGGACTAGAATGGTGTGGTACCTTTCATTTCACAGCTGCTCCAGGCCTGAGACTAAAGCTCCACATGTAGATTTTCTGCATTCAAATTTAATGTAGTAATTGAAGATTTAGTTGTAAGGAAACCAAATCTGTCATGTGAAATAACTTCATACACTACTTCTATATTATAATATTGCCAATAAAATCATCATTCACTTATGCCTTCTTTATTTATTTTCATTATCTTATAATTAGTTCAAATTATGTGATTCAGTTCAGAGTTTTCTCATTTTAATAAACACAGCAAAACTATCCAAATCTTGGCAAAGTCAATGTCCAATCCTGTGCCTGAATTTTGTCATCTTTAAAAAGTATGTCTGTATTAAAGGAAATTATCTAGAAAATGAAAAGACAATTCACAGAATGGTAGAAAATATTTGGAAATCACATATCTGGTAAAGGTTTGGTTTCCAGAATATTAAAGAACTCACTCATATAAATAGCCTATATAATAAAAACATAGTATGCAAATTGTCCCCTCAACTGGATTTCTTCCAGGAGTTTGGCCAGGGGGTGGGCCAGCCGGGGGAAGGGAGGGACTACCCAGCCGGCGGCCGGCAGCTGCTAGGGACGCTACCAGTGCATGAATTTCATGCACTGGGCCTCTAGTATATAAATAAAAAGACAACCCAATTAAAAATTGGGCAAGGAATTTGAATAGACATTTCTTCAAAGAAAGAAAATATGTCTAGTAAGCAAATGAAAAGATGCTTAACATCATTACTTTTTAGAGAAATATAAATTAAACCCACAATAAGACACAACTTCATAATCACTAGATTGGCTATATTTAAAAAGATAATAAAAGTTAGCAAGGATGTGGAGGCATTGGAAACCTCAAACATTGCTAGTGGGAATGTAAAATGGTGCAGCTGCTGTGGAAAACAATTTCTCAAAAAGTTAGACATGTAGTTACCATATGAACCAGCAGTTCCTAAGTATGTACCCAACAAATGATTTGTACAGGAATATCCATAGCAGCATTATTCATAACAGCCCAATACTGGAAACAACCCAAATGTCCACCAACTGATAAATGAATAAACAAAGATGGTATATCCATACAATGGAATATTATTCAGCCATAAAAAGGGATGAAGTACTGATACAAGCTACAACATGAATGAACCTTGAAAATATTGTACTATGTGAAAGAATCCAGTCACAAAAAGCCACATATTGTATGGCTGTTATGTGAAATGTCTAGATTAGTGGCTGCCAGGGGAGGGAGGAATGGGCTTCTTTTTTGGGTGATAAAAATGTTCTAGAATTAGTGGTCATAGCTGTGCAACCTTATGAATACTAAACCACTGAATTGTTCACATGAAGAGGGAAAATTTTGCATATGGTATGTGAATTATAGCTCAATTTTCTAAAAAACTAGATCTTTGTGTCCTTGCATATTCTATGGCTAGAAAGCTTCTTCACCTTCTACATAAAATTGTTTTCAGTTACCAGAACAGTACATGATAGATACATATTAAAAGTTACAATAAAGACCTGAGTGGTTTTTGCTGAAACTATTATTCTGGAACTGCTAAAAAATGGTGCATGCAATAGATAACTTCTGTATCATATTTCTTCAAAATTTTATTAAAAATATCTATTTCTCAATATATTATTGCCAAATATTTTTAAACATTTTTTGGTTGAACTATAAATCTGTGTTGAATGTATTTTAAGCCCTAGCTCGGTAGCTCAGTTGGTTAGAGTATCATCCCAATACACCAAGGTTGCAGGTTCCATCCCTGGCCAGAGCACACATAAGAATCAACCAATGAATGCATAAATAAGTGGAACAACAAATTGATATATCTCTCTCTCTAAAATTTAAAAAATTTTAAAAGAAATATATTTTACAATATTGAAATAAAAATGGTATTTTTGTTAGTTTTTATAATAGCTTTATATTTAATTTCAAAAGACACTATTAGTGCTCAAAGATACAGTTTAAAAATTAGACATTTTTGGATTTGTTGCTTAGCATTAACTAGTATTCTTTTAGAATTAAATATTATTGTTACTGGAATTTATAACAAGATAAATACTGGATAGGTTAAGATAAGGCAAGAGGATGTCTTTTGGGAGCAGGACATACAATGCAAATTCAAAACTTCTGGAAAATAAAAAAAATATCTGCTTTACCACAAACTAAAATTTCCCAAATATTTTTCTTTGAATTATTTAAAATGGCAAGACACATATTTTGCTTTTAAAATCTTTAACTTTATTGATATATAAATAACTTTGTAATGCTCAAGTTTCCAATTTTCTAAGATACTAAGTCATCCCTCTTAAAGTTTTCCTTCTTTAACTCTTTGAAACTAAACACATTCAGTTATTTGATTAGTTGATGCTAGAATTTGACCTAGAGCTTATGTAATTAGAAGAGAGACTAGTTTTAGCTCATTTAAAAGCCTAGCTAGCATATGACAGTCTCCTTTCCGGGAAGTCAAGCCTCTCCACTGCTTCTTTTTATAACCTTTAAGTTAATTCAGAATCCAGATAAGCCTTGATCCAAGGATGATATAACCACAGCAAGCACCATGGGGTAAGTGTGCTTTTATGTGCTTTGAGAGGCATTGAGATGAGAAACAGTATCATAAGAGAAATTCCATCAATCCTTAGTAATTTTGATTCAAAATATGCTGACATTAAGAATAAAATTTAAAAATAAGTAACTTTTTATTCAAAAGTTATAACAATTTATAAAACATTCATTTTCTTGCTTAGTTGTAAAATTGTCATAATCTGCCTTTATAGCTTATCAGTGAATGATATGTTTGGGGACTGAAGAGTTTTACATATTTACATATTTAATGGAAGCTGAGTTAAATTTTGAGAGCAGTCTTAAAGAATGACAGGGTTCTTTCATTGAAAAATAGTTATAATTTTAAAATTTTATATTTTATGTACTGATTATATTTTTGAAATGTAATTCTATGTTTATTGAATCTAATAAAAATCAGGATTTTAAAAAAAAGAATGACAGGGTTCTTGATTTACACAGCAAATAAATCCAACATTTCTTTGGGATTAAGAATAAAAAATGAAAAGATTAGGAATGAAGGGAGGTTGGTTTGTGCCTTTTGTAACACAGAAAGGGATAAAGGAGTTCACTCCTCTATATACATAAAAATGTGTACTGATTAATTACACAGAGACATTAGTGAATCTTAACTCTAAACCCTTTGCAGGGTTTTGGGAGCATGATGAGAAGAACTGGGTTTCACTTGAAAGGTTTTTATTCTTAAGTGAGAAAAGTATTCCATAATAGTATAGGAATTATATGGGTTTTATATGCTAAAACAATAGTATTCTGAAAATATAGAAATTTATTTTTTATCACCATTTTGTCTTTGTTAATAGCTCCTTTGAATACAAGATTATATTGCTGCAAATGACATAGCCATTTCATTGAAGGCACTTCTGTAGGGTTTACCATAAATGAACAAATTTATACTAGAGAAATAACTTTTTGTCATGTTTATTCTAAAGTCTGCATGAATATAATTAACATCTACATCTTTGTCAATACCCTGGGTTCTGAAAATGCAATTTGAACCAGTCTGAAACCTCAGAGGCTTTTGAAAGGAAGATGATCAAAATATTGTTAACTTTTAATACAAATATAAAGGTTAACAGATAAGTGCCTTGTACAAATTTCATATACATTTGTTTCTCCCTCTTCCTCCCTTCTTTTTCTTTAATGGCAGGAGGTCTTAACCTTTTTGGGAGTCAAGTATAATTTTAAGAATCTTTGAATGCCAGCCCACCTCCTCTGCAAATCACACAAAATTTTCCATACAAATTACACAAAATTTCCCATGCAATTTCAGCATATTTACACATTGTCTGAATCCAATCTATGAACCCCAGTTAAGAACCTTTGATTTTGAGTTTTAAGACTGGAGTATGAGTTGCTAAATATTTTTTGTAGTTTCTGTATTTTTATAAAATGTAAAAATATTTAGGTTAATAATTTCTCTCAGGGACAATGTTGAAGATACTGATTCTCACACTGATCACCTCTCAGTACACACACACACACACACACACACACACACACACACACTTTACATGAGAACGAAACACAATTACCAATATCCATAGTTTTGACGATCACATTACTGCTGCTTGTCCCCAGTGATTTGAGTAATCGTTTGTGCTTTCAAGAGTGCTAGGAATCACCTTGGGAGTCATGAAAGGAAAAAAAAAAAAACCCTCATTTTATTGTAAGCTGCTTTCAATGCTCCAAATAAGGTGAACTAAACCATAAATTGGTAGATATTACACAGGACACTCTTCTAATTGGTAGGTTCATGATTGTTTTGTTGTCTGCTCCTGCCCTTATTGAAAAAAGAGGTTAGTAAGTGTTAACACCCACTTAAGTTTTCCTAAAATAATTAGAAAAATAAAAAGAAAGTAGCAGCTGATCAGATGTTCAAATTTGTCTATTTGAGGAAATCTCTAGAATAATCCCCAGAAAATGAGAAAATAGCTGTTTTGGATTTTTGGGGGGAGGTCCTTGGGCGTACTTATCTCAAAGCTATTTGAAAATACAGTGCCTTTATATGGGTCTATGCCAGCTCTTTTTATTTTTCTTCAGGCGATGCTGGCACGGTTTTAGTGAGCAACAAGAGGCAAACATTAGAAAATTCTTATGCACTCTAGAAAGCCTCCTCTGTCTCTTAAATTTTCACTGGATTTCTATGGGTGTGTAGGTGTGTGGAGTGAGTAGGAATATGAATAAGGGTGGGTAAAGGGATAACTGGAGAAAAGCGGAAGAACCTTACTTGTAAGCTACCCAGATACCTGCTATTTACCATTACACCTGGGCAAAGGATGCACAATGGGAAAGAAAGGTGGATGCATTTCTTTGCTGAGATACATTTCAATCCTCTTTCCCCATCTAGCAGTTATTCAGTACACTCCCGATTGACATCTGGGGGGGGGGGGTTGGAGGGGAGGGAGTTAAGGTTCTGCTAAAATTGTAGAAGTTCATGGTTACAGCATGTTCAGCCTTCTTTTAGTTTCCCAGGTCAAATAACGTAGAAGGGTTTTAAAAGTTATTTAACAGATTTATTCTCCGCCTCTGAACCTGAGAATGACAACTCTTTCCTGGGCAGAGCAGATACGTAACTCATGCAGTAGCCTTTGAACAGTTGCTTCTATCTGTGCCTTCCTTTCCTTCATAATGGTTGCTTCCTTAATTCAGGTCATGGTTACCTTTTACTTAGATTATTAAAGGTGCCCACTCCCTGGCCTCTTTGCGGCTGGTCTTTCTTCTGAAGTGCCACAAGAGGCAGCTTCTTGCTGAAGACATGTGATCTAGTTACTTACTCCCTTGCTTAAAACCCGCCAGTGACTCCTTCATCTCTCCACTGCAGAGCAGCCCCCGAAGAAGATATTCATGGCCCCAACCTCCCTGTCTTGCCTTACCTCCTACTCTACCCTCCATGCTCCTAGGATCCCTAAATAATGTCTTGTAATTTCCTACTTCTGTTCCTTTGCTGATCCTCTTTTTATCATTTCTACACATTGTTCAAAGCCCAGCTCAAACCCTATATTCATGGAACTTTCTCTGATCCCCACAACTGAACTCTCTTCTGAAAGCTTTAGGCACCTTATACTTTTCTCATTGCATTTGTCACAGTTTATCATACTTGTGTGTCTCATCTTTCTTTTTTCCCCCCATCATCATTTATTCCCCTTTATTGTCTTTTTTTTTTATTACAAAGGGTATTACATCTTTCTTACTAGATTTCCTACTTGAAGGATCACTGTCATCTGTATAGTTGTCCCAGCACCTGACACAGTGCCCTTTACATAGTATGTGCTTAGTAAATGCTTATTGAATCAAAATGAACTGTTTTTCCTATAATCTACAATGAAAGCTAAAGACTTAATTTTAGCTGAACTTCCTTTTTCTTCCCCTATAGAGTGGCCCCATTTTCCACTATCTGGGAGTTAAAATTCCTATCTGAAGAGGCCAAATGAGTATAATATCCAAAATATGAGTGATTCAAGGGAGAAAGGGTGGAAACAAGGACTGGAGTGACACATTAGAGGCTTCTGAAGAATGAAGAATTTGTTAATAAATAGTACATACATGTTCAAAGGAAGCAAGAGGGAAGCTTTAAGAATAAAAAATGGCTCTTGGTTCTAGACAACTTCCTGGAGTGCCAGCCTATAGGGTTGGGGTCATCTATAATAATAAAAGCATAATATGCTAATTAGACTGGGTATCCTTTCAGGCGACCCTCTGGATGAAGTTGGGGCTGCAAGGGAAGCCCAGGTCCCAGGTGCCTGCCAGCGGCCAGAGGGAAGCCTGGGTCCCGGGTGCCAGAGGGAAGCCGGTGCCGGCAGCCAAGGGAAGGGAGGCCTACTCTTGCGTGAATTTTGTGCATCGGGTCTCTAGTCTGTATATAATAGAGAAACCAAAATAATAGTGGCTTAAATTAGCTAGAAATTTATTTCTCTCTTAGATTAAAAAAAAAAGCCAGACCAGCCCAGAGCTGTTGGAGCATGTTCTTGTGTGAGGGACGAGGTTCCCACCAGCTTGCCCTCCTGCCATCCTTGTGTATCACGTCTTGGCCCACAGAGATGCTAGGACTCCACCTATCTCACTGGTGTTCGGCCAGCAGGAAGGAGAAATGGAAAAACATGTGTTCTCTTTTTGAGTTCGCAGACCGACGCTCTATCCACTGAGCCAAACCGGTCAGGGCTTATTCTCTTTTTGAAGGAGACTTCCCAGAGGTCATGCACATTATTTCTACTCATACCTCATGGGGAGAATCTATTCTGGTGGATACACCTAGCTATGAAGGGGAAGGGGGGATGTAAGTTTTGAACTGGGATACTAAAGAAAAGGGGAGAATGGATACTGGGTGGCAATTAGCAGTGACTAATAGAGCCAAGATCAGGCCTTACACTGCTTCTTGTACTCACTCCTTCAGGACAAAGAACAGCATTACACACAAAAAGGATTCTCTTAAGAAAAGTTATCTGTAAAGGTAAGAGGGAAAAAAGAGCAAGCTTAGCTGGGAATAAGCATAGATTTGCTTAGGATAATGGACAGGGATCTTGACAAAAATGACATAGGCGATTAAGCCTCCGGCCCCCCTACTGCTTGTCATTACCAATGGCATTTTATTTTTTATAGACTGACTAGAGAAATCAGGAAGCCTTCTCAAAACATGGTGTGATGTCTACTGGTGGAGGCAGGACACGAGGTGAGTGGAAATTGCAAAGAACTTGTTTCTAATAAGAACCCAGACAAACTGAGAGCTTAGTTTAAACCAGTGCACTTGTGCTTAGTTTAAACCAGTACTTGTACTTTTTTCTTGAAGTGTAAGCATTATAAATGGCTTTGAAGAATTTTGTAACCCTTCTTTGTTTAAAAACAAATAAGTAAACATAGTATTGGATCCCATGATTGGTTAGCTAGCAGTCAGGACTAATAGCCACCTTATAAACTAGCTATGTTACCTCACAGTTTTATTGTACACTCAGAGTATTGAGACAATAACGAACTATGTTTTAATTGAGTTTTATTTTGGATGTCTTTGTGGACTGCAAACAAATACAAACCCTGTAAAAACAACACAATTTACATTCAATTAATATTTACTGAGTCCCTACTTTATGCTAGGCTTTGTGACGTAACAGCCACGTGGGATAGATAAGCATTATCCTCATTTTACAGTTGACGAAATGTAGGTTTTTAAAGGTTAAGTAAGGTTCCCAGGATCAAAAAAAAAAAAAAAATGAGTAACACAGTGGGGATTTGAAGCTAGGTGTCTCATGCACTTAAGAAAAAAGTCCCATAGTTTAAAACATTATTTTTAAGTTTCAAAACTAAAATGTACACATTGTAAAACAAACAAGCTTGATTAAGACAGAAGAGTATAAGTAAACTTTGAAAGCCTATCCCACCCCGTCTCCATACCTCTTTCCAAGCATTAGCACTGTTAGTAATTTGGCATAAATTCTTGCATATCTTTCCTTTTGTCCAATGTACTCTTTACAGTATCACACTCCCTATCTACTTAAAGATTTAATAAATAGAGGAGGCTGAATTTACTATATATTTAATAGTATAAACATCTATCTTTAAAATAATAACTGAATTGCTCATTTAGCTAGCATTAGGCATTTCACTATAGAGACTGGAAGAAGAACAGAACTCACTCTCTTTTTCTGAGGGATTCTAGTGCAGTGTTCTTGATGTTGAGAGAGTGCATATGGACTCCTCTGAGAGTATGATGCAAGCGCCAAACCTTCTCCCTCGAAGAAAATGAACCTATATAAAATTTTGCCTCTAATTCAGGAACCCTGAGACAATATGGACCCCTTCTCTTTTACAAGGAAGATTGTTAAATTAATAATTTATCATAAATACTAAAATAGAAATGTGAATAAGATACTATAGCAGCACAGAAAAGCAAGGGTTTTACTGAGACATGTCAAAAAAGACAGGGAAGAGTGGTACTTGCACAGAATCTTGAAGGACACAAGAAGTTTGACAGCTAGCTCAGGGTAGGGGAAGGATGTCCACTGAGGAACTATATTCATAAATCCCAGAGGCTAGAAAGGACAGGGGACCACAAAACTTTCTTTGTGGCAGGAGCCTAGTGTGTATGAGAGTGACTGAAGACAAGTTTGCAGAATTGAATAGAGGCCAGATCATGAAGGCAGAGGTCTATTGTGTTAGGATGTTTGAACTTTAAGAGTCACTGAAGAATTCTGATCTAGATTTTCATAGGTAGGTAAGAAGTCTAAAATTAATGCAAGACTAACTAAATGATAGTGGAAATGATACTATGGATGATAGAATAAGAAATAGAACAGAGATAAGACCATTTAATTCAGATTTGTTGGAGGATCATTGATAAAATACGTTGTTAAAAAGATATGTTGCTAAAAATCAGATGGAATCTATTAGAAGGTCACTGCTTTTACAAAGGAGATTGGGAGAATAAAGCTCTGAAACTGTCTTTGTAAGATAAAATACAGGTGCACACCCGTCACCCCATGCAGTGTCCCATGCACAATCAGGCCAGTGTCAGTCACTCGGGGTGTATCACTCACTTCTGATCTGCACACCCCATGCCCTCTGCTGTCCTCCAGTAACTTCTGATGGACTGTATGGTTTCCCAGTGACTATTCTACCTGCAAAGAGTAGGAAGGAGGAAGAGGGGGAAATGGGTTAGGTTCTCAATATTTCTACACTGAGCAGGTATTGCTTTTATAATTATTTTTGTAAATTAGGTTTTAAAATGATGTAGTTTAAAGTAAGGCATACAAGTAATGTCATAGCTGGTTCATTTTTATTTGGCCATACTTAACCTAATATACCTAACTAAAAATCCAGCATTAGTCTCGCCCGCTTCTTGGCAGTGGCTTCACAACTGAGGCAAGACTATAAAATCTCAAGGGTATTTTACTTTGTAATATTTATTATTCATTTAAAAATTGTACGTATCAGGTACTATAAAGGCTTTGAAGACTGAACTTGTACATATAGTGTATATGCAATTTTGTATGATGTATCATAAAAAAAATTTATACATAGAAGCATTTGGTCTTTGCTGAAGGGTAGTAGTACTCCAGGTTTCTCAGTCTATATGTTTAGATAGTGAATTTGTATTAAAACAAAATTTAAAATTTAGGGGCAATGGCATTACTTTTCCCTGTTTGCCTTTTCTAGCTCATTAAAAATGTTAATATGACTAAAGTTCTGTGTTGTTTTCCTTTTTCTCCAAATGTATTGAAGCATAACTGACATATAAAGTTTTAAGATATTTAAAGCGTGCAATGTGATGATTTGATATACATTGTGAAAGGACCCTCCCCCATCAAGTTAATTAACACATCCATCACCTCACATATTTACTTTTATTTTTGAGAGGTGAGAACATTTAAGTTCTACTTAAGAGAGAACTTTCAATTTCAATTATACAATGTAGTCTTATCAACTCTAGTCACCATGTTATATATTAGATCCTCAGACCTTAGTTATCTTACAGCTAAAAATATGTAGCCTTTTACTATACAGCCTCTCCCTATTGTTTTCTTTAAGGAAAGAAATCATTAACCATAAACAATCTTTGGAATTTGATTAAACTCAAACTTGTGTTAAGTGTCCACTACAAAACGTTCTCAAAGTTCTCATGCCTATAATTCCCAGGAGGGAGAACTACCAAAAGTATGGTAGAGAATGTAGTAGGAAAGGGATGACTAATGATGACTTGGAGGATAGGAAAGGCTTCGTAGAGAAGGAGGTGACTGAACTGAGCCTTGAAGGGTGAGAAATATTTCATTAGGCAAGGAAAGACATCTGAGGCGCAGAGGATGGGAGGAACAAATGTAGAGAGGCAAGGTTTGGATGAGATGCACGAACTGTGATCACCTACAGGTCTATATGATATATGCTAACTATTGTAGAGTTTTATTTGGAATACTATGAAACAGGGGAACAAATTAAGTAGGTTCAGCTAGTCCAGCCATTAGCTGTAACAAAATCAGCTAATTTAGAATTTCTAGGCCTTTGGGTAAACTACTTACACAGGGAGAATGCTGATGTTTTACTAGTAAGAACATTGCTGACCACTGTCAACGGTGCATAGGCTATGGGCTATTCTTCTGACTGAGCTTATAGATTTGCAGGGTTTGTCTATGATTCCCAACTCCTGGAGTCTTTGTTCACTGGGAGGTAGTGAGAAATTACAATAATTCTGCAGACTGAAAGTGCCAAAGGCAGATCCAAATTGGATTCATCTGAACTGTGAAAAAAATTCTCCCAGGAGACAGCAGTAACCTGGTTTCCCCTCTCACCTACAAAAGGCTTTGATGACTAGTGATCTATTTCACGGTACTACTAACTCAGCTTCCTGATTCCGATCTTGCGAGTCTTGCAGTTGCCTGTGCTGCTGCAGCAGGAGCTCCTCCCGAGGACTAGTTAAGGTTTTACCACGTTGCTGTACCCTCTCTGCAAGTTGGGGTCCCCCTAGGGGTGCAGGAAGCTTTTTCTGGAGCTCAGGGCTTTTCTCCTTCACAAGTCTCTCGGGAGCCTCTCTTGCCTTTCACTGTCTTCCCTCTTCCACTGAGCGCTGGCCTAGTGAAAACAGAGTGACAGGCACGTTTCAGGGGGAAATAGGTATTGACCTTATATTGGGGCAACGCTGTGCACGGAGTGTCTCGAGAGGCTCTTATCTTTCACTCAGATGAATCCAGGGAGAGAACCTATTTGAAAGGCTGAAATGAAAGCAAGTCCAACCAGCATAAGAAGAGAGTTTGGGCACATTAGACCAACCAGACCTATTGCTCACAAAGCATTCAGGCTCACAAATCAGGTTCTGACACATTTAGGATGCACATCGATGCAACAAGTTGGAAGAGCCCCTGGAAGTAATATGGTCTGAAACTTTTGATACATTTTGATGTCTAAAATGAAGAATTTTTAAATTTAAAACAATTATCTCTAGACATTGGGTTGTTTTTTATGTGTAATAACGTGTTCTTTTTTTTTCTGATTGATGTTGACACATAGCAATTCAACCAAATTACTCTATCCTATTGACATTATCTATAATAATAAAAGGGTAATATGCTAATTAGACCAGACATCCTTCCTGACAAAGCTGGGCCGAAGTGAAGCCGGCCTGGGTCCTGGGCAGCCTGAGGAGGGAAGTCCGGGTCCCAGGTGCCAGAGGGAAGCCGGTGCCAGCAGCTGGGGGAAGGAAGGCCTACTCTTGCATGAATTTTCGTGCACTGGGCCTCTAGTTAGGTAACAATAAAAAAAATTAACATGCCAGTGGAGTGGAGGTAGGGGGAACTCTGTCATTCCATATGTTGACATAAAGAACCTTGCTGTCTGCTGAGCTACGGAACTGCTACTCTGTGTGCTTTGCCCTCTTCTCACTGGCTCTGGGCACTCAGGTTGTTGGCAATGGTGGCACATCAGTTACAATTAGATTTGGTGTGGTACCATTCAATAGGAAATCCTGCTCTCTCTGGGTCTTCAAGCCTAGTGGTGGGCAGGGGGTATATTTCTGCCAGTGAAACTTTACTTGATATAATAAAATAGAATGGTGTTTTTCCCCCTAACAAAAATCATCTCTGGGCTATAAACTGTTTCTATATTTCCCCACTCCTTTTTTTTCTTATGTGAAGCCCATGTGGTAAAAAAAATGTGTTTCTTTTGCTGTCCATCAAATGAGAATTCAATTACTTCCACTGGTAAGAGAACATTGCTGACTACTATCAATAGTGCATAGGCCGTGGGCTATTTACCACAAATACTTGTTGAACCCAAGCCCAGAATGGTATTAGGAGCTGGGGATACAAAAATGAATAAAAGACCCCTCTGCTCCCGAGTGGCTCACAGTCTGGTGAGGGAACTAGCATTTAGGCAGTTAACTAAGGATGGGATGCGACTGGGATGGTGGCCTTATGGCCTGGTTCAGTGGCAGGGGCCAACCATCTTCTAGCAATAATCATATTTGAGAAAAGGTCAAGGAAGAGGACCAAGGTCCATTTTCAAATTAAGAGTAGTTATTGTTTACAGTGGTTGCCAGTGATTGTTTACAGTTATTGTTTACAGAGGTTACCTTTCAGACCTCACAGACCACCAGTGGTTCTTGGACCATCAATTGACGACCGCTGCTCCAAAGGTTTCCTTAAAACAGCGGTCGCCAGCCTTTCGGACCTTGCGAACCACTGGTTGGCAACCGCTGGTAGGATGTCTCATGGCACAGACCTTATTTCATTCTTTAATTTATTGCCTTTGCCAGTTTTAAATTATTGTGTATTCAAGGGTGATTTGATTGTACATTTATTTGGAAGTGGGTATAAAAAGTTACATTATCATTGAGGTGTCCTTATTTTAAACACTTACATACATGCCTATGTATTGTGAAATTTATCTCCTTATCATATTGCTTCTAACTGTCACACTGTGCTTTTTGTTTTCCTGCATTATGCTGATTAAGGAATTATATTAATAAATTTATAAGTATCAAGCCATTTTTATATTCTGAAACTCTACTGATCATGGTATTATATTTGTGTTTTCTGAGATTTTATTTAGAATATTTCTATATTTAGGCTATTTAGAGTAGATTTGGTACCAGAACCTCATAGTGTAGATTTAGTAAAATTTACATATACCCTATTTTGAGACATGAATTAAATAACAATAGAGTCATTGTTATTGATAGAAACTTCCTACTTTATTATCCTGGGTTATTTCTTATTTTGGGGGTAGACATTTGACACATCCCTTTCAATATATTCTATAGATAGTTATTCTAGTTAAATTCCAGTTGTTAAAACAGAACTCATCAATTTGTGTTATCCTAAAAAAAATTTCCCATTTCATCTAGCTTTAAAAAGTTATTGGCAGCCCTGGCTGATATGGCTCAGCTGGTTGGAGCTCCTCCCATACACTCCACTTGGGGAGTGTGCAGGAGGCAACTGATCGATGTTTCGCTCTCACATCAATGTTTCTCTCTCTCTCTCTCTCTTTTCCTCTCTCTAATATCAATAAAAAGAAGACATTGTGGTTTGGGAGATGTGTGTGTGTGTGTTGAGTGTGTCCTCAGGTGAGGAATAAAAAAATTATTGGCAATAAGTTATGAGTAGAATTTTTTAAAGTAAAATTTCATAGCCTGTGAATTTGTGGTTACATCTCTTTTTGTACAATTTTGTGCTCTTTCTCGTCCTCTCAATCTCCCTCTCTCCTCAGACTTGCCAGAGTTTTTCTCATTTTATCAATTCACTTGTTCTTTTCAAATAGCTATCACAGCCAACACAGGAATGAATACACACACACACACACACACACACACACACTCACATACTAGAGGCCCGGTGCACGAATTCATGCACCAGTGGGGCCGAAACTGGCTCTCTGACATCCCCCAAGGGGTCCCGGATTGCAACAGGGTGCAGGCCAGGCTAAGGGACCCCACTGGTGCATGATTGGGGCTGGGGAGGGATGCGGGAGGTTGGCCAGCCAGGGAGGGACTGCAGGAGGCTCCAGGGCATGTCTGGCCCATCTGGCTCAGTCCCAATCAGCCAGACCCGAGCAGCAAGCTAACCTACCAGTCAGAGCGTCTACCCCTGGTGGTCAGTGCACGTCATAGCAACTGGTTGACTGTCTGCCCCTAGTGGTCGGTGCACGTCATAGCGAGCAGTTGAGTGGCCTTAGCATATCATTAGCATATTACGCTTTGATTGGTTGAATGGCTGACCAGACAACTGGATACTTAGCATATTAGGCTTTTATTATATAGGATATTGATTTCAGCGAGGAAGGGAGAGGGAGAGATAGAAACACCAATGATGAGACAGAATCACCGATCGGCTGCCTCCAGCACACCCCCTACTGGGGATCAAGCCTGCAACCTGGCAATGTGCCTTGGCTGGAATCGAATCCAGGACCCTTCAACCCATAGGCTGACACTCTATCCACTGAGCCAAACCAGCTATGGCAGGAATTGATATATTTTAAATGACAATAAAAGTGGTTCCTTATGTGATGGTGCTTTGGAGTCCTATGACATGAAGCAATTTATTTAAATAAATAGAATAATAAAAAAATAATGGTCTTACTTGGAACTACTTGCTATGTAACTGGGTAAATCATTGTTCAAAGTAATTTCCTTCCATATAAAGTGAATGGTGACATGCCCTGCCCACTGGGCAGCACAGCTGCAGTGAAGAGGTGAGGTAATGTATACAAGTGTACTTTGAAAACTATAGCACAGGTACAAAACAAGGTCATGAAATATGCTATTTCATGAAATATATGTCGCTTTTTGTCTGTATAAAAACAACAACAACCCTTTTAGTATATTTTAAAAACATTTTTCTATACCATAAGGAACTTACAGACTCTCCACTGTGAAAATATTTGCAGGATTTGTCCTGATGAATTAGCTTCAGGGGAAAATATTTCCTCATTATCCTCCCCCCAACATAAAAAGTTCTCATTCTACTAAATTAGAAATGTGCACTAAAGACCCATTCAATAAAGGACACTGAAATGGAAATTAACTCAAGTCTGCTTTCAATTAATTTCAATTCCCCAAAGTGCCAGACTTTCCTTTTCTGTCACAGCAGTAATTGGAAAGTAATAACAATCCTAAGCTCCCGTGGTCTTATCCGTGTATGTGTGCGTGAGGTATACATTCTAGGTCAGCATGGGGGAGGGTCAGGAAATTTTCCCATATTCTTTAGGTTTCTATTAACTTTATTATTTGAATTAATTATATAAAAACGTGGTTATAACTTCTTAGGTTATTGTTTCAACATCCCTATTTCTCTATTGCAATAATTTTAGAGCCTTTGTTTTTTAAGCAGCAGCAGCAACTTATTTTAAAAGGAAATCTTTCCCCAAAAGCTACAGAATGTGAAACAGACAAGAGCAGTGAGACTCTGGTTGGGTGGGATAGAGAGGGAGGCCCAGAACTCCTCGAGCTGGGTGGCTTTCTCTCTGCTCCCAAGGCAGGCTCAAAAAGAGCCCGAGGGCTTTAAAGAGTACAGACTGAAAACCACTGTAATGATTGGGCACAGCTTAGAGACTAACAGGCTTTTTCTAAGAATGTAATAGTACTTTCCCAAGGGTCTGCCCAGGCCCAGATGGGTGTGTTTAGAGGATAACACCGCTATTGTGGAGTTGGAAAGAAAGGAGGGCTGGGGAAGAAATTGGGGCCATATTAACTTGATGGGAGAAATATGGTAGCATCTGACGGTTACTTATGCAAAGGTAGGCAGTGATTGAAGGTCTATGAAGGGCAGAGGAAAGAATTACTGGGCTCAGAGAGTGAGGGATTTCCATGAAAATAAAGCGCGGACTACAAGTAAGATCTCACAGGGGATTTCATCATGTAATAAGGCTCTTTTGTTATTCTCCCTTTTAAAATGTACCTTTCAGTATATATTACTTATTAATATGATCATACTCTTCAAACAAGTAATTCTCATCTGGAAACCTAGCCTAAGGAAAAAATGTCTTAAATATGAGGGGAAAAGCTATATATCTTTTTATATTCAAAACAGAATATAAAACTGAAAAACAGAAAACTGTCCGAATATTCAAAAATTAGGGAAGAAAAAGTGACAAATTTCTTCAAACCACTATTTTTCACTAATTAAGTATAATAATTGTGCAACTATATGGAGAAAGCCAGGAGTGATAAAAACACCAGTTCTGAAATCACGAGACCTGAGTTCAATTCTGGCTCCCTCTGCCTTTTCTTTTCCGTGATCCTGGGCATATTACTGCCTCATTCTCCTAAGCCTCAAGATTTTCATCTATAAAATGATAACAATACATACTAAACAGGGTCAATATATGGGGTCAATTAA